TTAAGTCATTGACTTTAGGGGGAATTTCGACCTTTATGAAAAATGGTAGATAAGGAAGTGGTGACCAAATCTTCAATTTTGAATAAAATTCGGATTCCCCTAGAAAGACATTTGCCTATGAAGACAATTGTTTGAGTAGATACTTGGAATAAGATCGAGAGCTCCTTGGGAGGAAAGAATTGTGAAAGAAAACTTGAGTAGAATTTTTGAAATTATGGAAAGTTTTTTATTAGACAGAAATCCTTAGGTTTTTTACTTTAGAGGGAATTTGATTTTATGGAAAAGTGTTGAGGAGGTGATGACCGAGCCTTTCACTTTGATGTGAAATTTTGAATTTCCTTATATGACATTTGACTATAAGGTGACTGTTTAATGGATTTCTTGGAATAAGATCTAAAATCCTTTATTTTGTCATGCGCTTTGTGTATTTTATTCACACAAAAAATTAGATCGATCCGATAATGAATCCAAAATTAATCCAAAATCAAATAATTTACGTGTAAAAATTAATATTATTAAAATAACATAGGTTAAATTAATTTTTGAGTGATACTTTGATGGGGAAAATGATATTTCCTCTTTTAACTGTAATAAAATAATTAAATCTTCATATTAAAGTATGTTAGCCTATTTTCAAATAATAATTATACTTTATTATGATATTACTTACATAAATAATTTCTTCATAGATTAGGGCATGATTTGTATTTTTTAAAATGCTTAATTACACATTCACAGTTTCTCACTTTGTTCTCGATACAGATTCTTTTCACTTTGGTCCAAATTGTAACAAATGTTATACTTCTGTGACGGAAAATGCCCCATGGGTCAAGTTCACCTAAATTTGTACCAAATCCTCTATTGTAGACCACCTCAACATGCAACCCTCCATTATAGAACACTTCCATTTACCGCCTACCATGACCCATCTATTTTGAAGTGCGAAAACAAAGGTCTCCAAGTGATCAAGGTAGGAAAGTTAATTTTAAAAATTTCAAAGTTTCCCTCAGAAGTTAGAAATTGGACCAAAGTAAGAAAAGACAAATAATGTAGTGATTAGGGTAGGTACAGTGAAAAACAATATATATCTACGGATGAAAATACAATTTATTATTTTTAAATAGGAGTGACGGTAAAAAGGTAGTGACCGTTTATGAGATAATAGGCAAGGGCTAATACTGATACGTGCTAGAGTCATAAATGTGTCAAACTGATTTATAAGTGATGTCATCATTTGGACATAAAGATGACACTAGTAGCGGTAAGACCAAAAATAAACTTTCAAACAATTTTTTTGACATTAAAAAAAAAAATGGTTTAACAAAAATAAATTCTTAAATATCATTTTTTTTAGTTTTTTTTTTCATAACCAAATTAACTTTCAAATTTTAAAATAAAAAAATTCTGAAAATAAATTTTCAGATCAAAACCAAACAAGTGGCAGGTTCATTATTTGTATTTAGTCAACTATTTTGTTCTGGGGCCCTAGAAATTTTCTTGGCCTAAATTGTTGTTTAATTTATTTAGTAGGTTCTAAGTTCATTCAGTAGTTAGGTTTCTTTTTGAGCTGAGGCTCTAGAAATTATGTCGGCCCAAATTATTTTAGATACAAACCCAAAGGCCTTATAGCAAACCTCTGGGGGTGTATTTATAATTTAATCAAATAAATAATAAAGAAATTAATATTATAAAATGTATGTTGTCTAAATGGTAAGAGTGTTCTTAGGTTTCATTTGGGAAGCTAAGTTTGGGGGGTTTTTTGGCTATTTTAACCACAAAAAACAAAATAGGCCTTTAAGTCTAATAAGACAAAATATTACATCCAATCTATAATTATTACATTCTTTCTCTCTCAAAAAAATAAAAAAAGCCAAAAAAACCAAAAGCTCTTCCCAAACGAGACTTTTTAGCCCAAAGCTAAAATAGCTAACAAAGCCAAAATGCTAACTCACTTCCCAAACGAAACCTAATAAAACTTAAAATCTTTGGTTCAAATCTTGCTCACGCCTTCAAATAATATTTTTTTATTTTAGGATAAAAAAATTTGCCACTTAACGGAAGAAGAAACCACTACACTATTAGATACCAAGTCATATTCTCACATATATAATAATATAGATAGATATATATATACTAGTTGAATTGAAAGGTGCAGTTCAAGTCGGTAGGGCCCATTAAATATTTAATTTTGATAATTAGAATAATTTTTTTTTTTTTTGGTATATATCATTCATATAAAAATTAAACTGATTTGATACTCATGGTTGGTTCAATTTACCGCATTTGTGGTAAACAAAAATTGATGAATTGCCTCTCTTTTTTAAAAAAAAAAATTTAATGACAAATTGAATAAATTAGACAAATTACAATTATCATATTAAATTATTATTTTTTTTGGTATGAATTATACATGTGAAAGACTTTACAAAAATAAACTATTTAAATTATTAAAATAGAAATCATAATAAATGTTGACTGTACCTTTCAATCAAATATCCGAATTTGAAACGGGTTATTATTATAGTACGTTTAAGTTTTATATTTTGATAATTTTTTTAAAATTGAAATATTATTATATGAGATTAAATAGAATAAATCATTAGATATATGATAGAATTATGTAGTATGATATGTATTATTTTTTGATTTATTATACACCTAATGATGTATTCCTTCCAAATTTATTATAAAAAAAAAAAAAATAATGGGTAAGCTTCTCTCAATAGATAAATCTTAAACAAATACTAAGATAATTGTCTCATTTAAAAAAAAAAAAAAAAAACTACTAAGATAATTCACTAAACTAATAAAGAAGTAGAAGAAAATACACACACACACATATATATACACATAACTAATTTTATTAATACATAAATCATACTAACATAACAAATGACCAATTTTATTAATAAGTAAATCATTAAGTAAATTAACAATTTTTAATGATATGAAAAGTATTTTTCGGTTAACTATTTTGTTAATAAATAAATTATTAAGTCAATTAACGATTTTTAATAATATAAGAAATACTTTTCAATAAAAAATTTTGATAATTTATTATTATATAGGAAAATAGTTTTTTTTTTCTTCTTGATTATTGTGTTAAATTAAAATGGGTCAATTACATTGACACCCCCTGAGGTTTATGTTTATTACAGTTTATCCCTTTACATTTGGAAAATTACACTGACCCCCTGTGAATTTAATTTTATGTATGATGATCATTACGATGAGGGGGGAACTGTTATGAAATTTTAAACTTCAAGGGGTAATCTGTAATAAAACTTTAAACATCAGGGAGGGAAATGTGATTTTCTAAAGGTGATGGGAGAAACTGTAATAAACATAAACCGCAGGGGGTGTCAATGTAATTTACCCAATTAAAATTTATAATAAATGTAGTTGTAATTTATAGTATTTTAAGACCGATTTATATTTTAAATAAACCTTATGGGTGTATTTGTAATTTGTTAAAAAAATAAAATATTTATATTTCATAATTGACCAAGAATGTTTACGTAATTACTAAAAAATTGTTACATAATTGACCAAGAATATTTGCATAATTACGAAAAAAAACTTCACTCAATATATAGGCCACTATTAGTAAATTATTCAAAATAAATGGGCAAAATTGAAAAAAAAATACAAATCCCAATCAGTTAAGTGATTCTTTATATATATAGATATGTATATGTATTTTATAAAAATATTTTGAAGCGGTTTGGCAGCCTTAAGATAAATTACAAATAAATCCTGATTAAAATAATACGGATTCTCTCTTGTAATTTTGGAAATAATAAATTTTTTATTTAGTAGAATTTATGAAAAAAATAAAATTTTTACTTTCTCTGCTATACAGTAATAAAATTGCTAGGATTGTTAATTAAAATATATTTTTTTACATTATTAAAAATTATTAATTGATTTAATAATTTAGTAATAAAAAGTCATAAGGGACAATCTGTATTTTAAGAAAATCTCAATGGTGCAATACTGTATGTAATACAAAAATAAAAAGTTATTAAGAAAAACAAATTATATACCCTAATTATTGTTTTATTTTTATATAGTTAAATAAACTATTACCATTACATATTAACTTGTTTTGCTTAAAAAATAAAAAAAAAAATCTTAAAAAAACAATTCTCGAATCATTCGTTTGTTAAAATGAAAGATAAATTACCCAAATAATGCATAAAATATATAACTTATTTTATTTTGAACTATTTAATTTCATATCAATTTCTTAAAAATCACATATTAATCAAATGTAATATTTTCTTAAATTATTGTTAGACTATGAATATTTACATCAACTATATTTTAGACATTAAAGAATATAATTGTATTTTTTATAAGGACAATTCTTATGTATGTAAATATATATCATATATATTTACGTAAATTCTTATAAATATACGTAAATTATCTTATAAAATCGTGTAAATTTTTATAAATATTTAACTTACAAAAATTTAAGAAATTATAACTTATGTATATTTTTAAAAATTTATGTGATTTTATGAAACAACTTATGTATATTTATAAAACTTTACACAAATGCATATAATATGTACCTTACATATCCAAACACCCTAAACCCTTCCCTTATTATAAATGAAAAATTAAGATCAAAACGAAATAGGCATGTTTGGTAATTATTTCATTTTCAGTTTTCAGTTTATATTTACAAAAATTTTAACAACTATCATAAAAACTTGTTAGATAATTTTTTTGGTTTATAAATGGTTGTCTCAATTTATAAATTTGAGAAAAAAACGTAAACTCAAAAAATGAATTTACGTTAGTTTTTAAATAGAAATTTCAAAATTTGACTAAATTTTTTTTTTCAAATAAATTTTTTAATTAATTTTTTTTAATTATAATGTGTATAATCCTATTATCATAAATAATAAAAAATAAATATAAATATTTTAGGTATGAATAAATAAATTTTTTAATTTATATTTTTAAAATATTCTATTTAAATCAAATACATTTGTAATTTATATTTTTTTAAAAATAAACAAAAACTAATTTATAAAAATTTTGTCGAAGGTCACCGAAGTATTTTTTAAGGACTATTTGTGTAATTGATCGAAAATAAATCCCGACACGTGGCCAAAGACACGTAACCCCTATATCCACTAATTCCTCTCCATGCTGGCTCTGCAAAAAAACTGGGGACTTTGAGAATCACAAAACAGTAGAGAGAATTCAACAATGGCTTCATCTCTATCTATATACATATCTCCACAAGCCCTAGCTCGCAATACTCCAAACCCTCGCAACCCCCTCCCCAGAAAGCTCTCCAAATCAAACCCTAACCACCACCATCGCATTACTCGCACCACCTCCCGTGACTTCCACCCTCCGCCGCCGCCGCCTCTCTCCTCCGTCTTTGGCGGCGATGCCGCCACCACCTACACCCGCCTCCCTCCCAAAGACGACTTCTTTCTCTCCTCTCTCCACTCCTCAACCGAGGTCAAGCTATCCGAATTGAATATTTCAACTCGAAAGATTGAAAACGACGAATCGAGTCAAGAAGAGTTGTTTGATGAAAATCTAGGGCTTTCTTACGGAAAGTTCGAATTGTTCGAGGTGAATTCTGATTCTGAATTCGAAGACGATGATAATGAGGAGGAGGAGGAGGAGGACTATGGTGGTGAAATGTTAGGGTTTGAGGGTGGAGAAGCTGGGGATGTGGTTGGTGGGGATGGAATTGAAGGAGAGGAAGTGAAGGAGAAAGAGAAAGGAGTGCCGGCGGTGATGAGATGCTTTGACAGAGCGAAGATTTTTGTTAAGGCCGGTGATGGCGGGAATGGGGTGGTGGCGTTCCGGCGAGAAAAGTACGTGCCGTTTGGGGGACCATCCGGTGGCGACGGAGGGAGGGGTGGGAATGTGTATGTGGAAGTTGATGGGTCGATGAATTCGTTATTGCCGTTTCGACAGAACATTCATTTCAGGGCAGGGAGGGGTAGCCATGGGCAGGGGAAGAAGCAGAATGGGGCGAAGGGAGAGGATGTTGTGGTGAAGGTGGCACCGGGGACGGTTATTAGGGAGGCTGCCATGGATGGAGAGCAAGGGGAGGTGCTTTTGGAGTTGTTGTATCCGGGGCAGAGGGCATTGTTGTTGCCAGGTGGAAGAGGAGGGAGAGGCAATGCTTCTTTTAAGTCGGGGACGAACAAGGTGCCAAAGATTGCAGAGATTGGAGAGGAGGGCCCAGAATTGTGAGTCTTTCAAGTTCTTAAATTGTTTGTTCAAATTTTTAAAAAATTTCAATAGGTAATTGCATATATTGATTTTAACACTCGGAAATGGTTTCGTGGATTTTTTATTTGATTTGTACATCCTTGTTGAGAGTATAGGGTTTTGTTCTGTTTAGTTCGGTTGTTTCTTTTGCTGGTACATGCGTGTGTAGATGGTTGATGCCTTCGCTGTGCATTAAAATAGTTACTATTTTGCTTGTCAATAAATAAATAAATAACTGTTAGAATTTCCCATCTTTACCTTCACCTACTCCACTACACACTCCACTTCACCTACCTCTACTCCACTACACACTCCACTTCACCTAACCCACTATCACCTCCACTACACCTACTACCACATTACCTTCACCTACTCCACTACACACTCCACTTCACCTAACCCACTATCACCTCCACTACACCTACTACCACATTACCTTCACCTACTCCACTACACACTCCACTTCACCTAACCCACTATCACCTCCACTACACCTACTACCACATTACCTTCACCTACTCCACTACACACTCCACTTCACCTAACCCACTATCACCTCCACTACACCTACTACCACATTACCTTCACCTACTCCACTACACACTCCACTTCACCTAACCCACTATCACCTCCACTACACCTACTACCACATTACCTTCACCTACTCCACTACACACTCCACTTCACCTAACCCACTATCACCTCCACTACACCTACTACCACATTACCTTCACCTACTCCACTACACACTCCACTTCACCTAACCCACTATCACCTCCACTACACCTACTACCACATTACCTTCACCTACTCCACTACACACTCCACTTCACCTAACCCACTATCACCTCCACTACACCTACTACCACATTACCTTCACCTACTCCACTACACACTCCACTTCACCTAACCCACTATCACCTCCACTACACCTACTACCACATTACCTTCACCTACTCCACTACACACTCCACTTCACCTAACCCACTATCACCTCCACTACACCTACTACCACATTACCTTCACCTACTCCACTACACACTCCACTTCACCTAACCCACTATCACCTCCACTACACCTACTACCACATTACCTTCACCTACTCCACTACACACTCCACTTCACCTAACCCACTATCACCTCCACTACACCTACTACCACATTACCTTCACCTACTCCACTACACACTCCACTTCACCTAACCCACTATCACCTCCACTACACCTACTACCACATTACCTTCACCTACTCCACTACACACTCCACTTCACCTACCTCCACTTCACCACACACTCCACTTCACCTAACCCACTATCACCTCCACTACACCTACTACCATTTACCCTTTGAGAGGCTCGCTGGGCCGAAAACCCGGAAGGGCGACCTAGGCAAAAGTTAGAGCAAGAGAAAAATACAAAAAATGCAAAAAAAAGAGAAGAAATAAAATCAAAAAAAAAGGAAAGAAAAAAAAGAGAATGAAAAGAAACAAAAAATCAAGAAAAAAAAAGAGAAAATGAAAAGAAAAAAACTTTCAAACAATTTTTTTGACATTTAAAAAAAAATGGTTTGACAAAAATAAATTCTTAAATATTTTTTTTTTATAACCAAATTAACTTTCAAATTTTAAAATAAAAAAATTCTGAAAATAAATTTTCAGATCAAAACCAAACAAGTGGCAGGTTCATTATTTGTATTTAGTCAACTATTTTGTTCTGGGGCCCTAGAAATTTTCTTGGCCTAAATTGTTGTTTAATTTATTTAGTAGGTTCTAAGTTCATTCAGTAGTTAGGTTTTTTTTTGAGCTGAGGCTCTAGAAATTATGTCGGCCCAAATTATTTTAGGTACAAACCCGAAGGCCATATAGCAAACCTCAGGGGGTGTATTTATAATTTACTCAAATAAATATTAAAGAAATTAATATTATAAAATGTATGTTGTCTAAATGGTAATTGTGTTCTTAGGTTTCGTTTGGGAAGCTAAGTTTGGGGCTTTTTTGGCTATTTTAACTACAAAAAACAAAATAGGCCTTTAAGTCTAATAAGACAAAATATTACATCCAATCTATAATTATTACATTCTTTCTCTCTCAAAAAAATCAAAAAAGCCAAAAAAATCAAAAACTCTTCCCAAACGAGACTTTTTAGCCCAAAGCTAAAATAGGTAACAAAGCCAAAATGCTAACTCACTTTCCAAACGAAACCTAATAAAACTTAAAATCTTTGGTTCAAATCTTGCTCACGCCTTTAAATAATATTTTTTTATTTTAGGATAAAAAAATTTGCCACTTTAACGGAAGAAGAAACCACTACACTATTAGATACCAAGTCATATTCTCACATATATAATAATATAGATAGATATATATATATACTAGATTGAATTGAAAGGTGCAGTTCAAGTTGGTAGGGCCCATTAAATATTTAATTTTGATAATTAGAATAATTTTTTTTATTTTTTTTTGGTATATATCATTCATATAAAAATTAAACTGATTTGATACTCATGGTTGGTTCAATTTACCGCATTTGTGGTAAACAAAAATTGATGAATTGCCTCTCTTTTAAAAAAAAAAATTAATGACAAATTGAATAAATTAGACAAATTTCAATTATCATATTAAATTATTTTTTTTTTGGTATGAATTATACATGTGAAAGACTTTACAAAAATAAACTATTTAAATTATTAAAATAGAAATCATAATAAATCTTAACTGTACCTTTCAATCAAATATCCGAATTTGAAACGGGTTATTATTATAGTACGTTTAAGTTTTATATTTTGATAATTTTTTTAAAATTGAAATATTATTATATGAGATTAAATAGAATAAATCATTAGATATATGATAGAATTATGTAGTATGATATGTATTATTTTTTGATTTATTATACACCTAATGATGTATTCCTTCCAAATTTATTATAAAAAAAAAAAAATTATAATGGGTAAGCTTCTCTCAATAGATAAATCTTAAACAAATACTAAGATAATTGTCTCATTTAAAAAAAAAAAAAAAAAACTACTAAGATAATTCACTAAACTAATAAAGAAGTAGAAGAAAATACACACACACACATATATATACACATAACTAATTTTATTAATACATAAATCATACTAACATAACAAATGACCAATTTTATTAATAAGTAAATCATTAAGTAAATTAACAATTTTTAATGATATGAAAAGTATTTTTCGGTTAACTATTTTGTTAATAAATAAATTATTAAGTCAATTAACGATTTTTAATGATATAAGAAATATTTTTCAATAAAAAATTTTGATAATTTATTATTATATAGGAAAATAGTTTTTTTTTCTTCTTGATTATTGTGTTAAATTAAAATGGGTAAATTACATTGACACCCCCTGAGGTTTATGTTTATTACAGTTCACCCCTTTACATTTGGAAAATTACACTGACCCCCTGTTAATTTAATTTTATGTATGATGATCATTACGATGAGGGGGGAACTGTTATGAAATTTTAAACTTCAAGGGGTAATCTGTAATAAAACTTTAAACATTCGGGAGGGAAATGTGATTTTCTAAAGGTGATGGGAGAAACTGTAATAAACATAAACCGCAGGGGGTGTCAATGTAATTTACCCAATTAAAATTTATAACAAATGTAGTTGTAATTTATAGTATTATAAGACCGATTTATATTTTAAATAAACCTTATGGGTGTATTTGTAATTTGTTAAAAAAATAAAATATTTATATTTCATAATTGACCAAGAATGTTTGCGTAATTACTAAAAATTTGTTACATAATTGACCAAGAATATTTGCATAATTACGAAAAAAAACTTTACTCAATATATAGGCCACTATTAGTAAATTATTCAAAATAAATGGGCAAAATTGAAAAAAAAAAACAAATCCCAATCAGTTAAGTGATTCTTTATATATATAGATATGTATATGTATTTTATAAAAATATTTTGAAGCGGTTTGGCAGCCTTAAGATAAATTACAAATAAATCCTGATTAAAATAATACGGATTCTCTCTTGTAATTTTGGAAATAATAAATTTTTTATTTAGTAGAATTTATGAAAAAAATAAAATTTTTACTTTCTCTGCTATACAGTAATAAAATTGCTAGGATTGTTAATTAAAATATATTTTTTCACATTATTAAAAATTATTAATTGATTTAATAATTTATTAATAAAAAGTCATAAGGGACAATCTGTATTTTAAGAAAATCTCAATGGTGCAATACTGTATGTAATACAAAAATAAAAAGTTATTAAGAAAAACAAATTATATACACTAATTATTGTTTTATTTTTATATAGTTAAATAAACTATTACCATTACATATTAACTTGTTTTGCTTAAAAAATAAAAAAATTTCTAAAAAAACAATTCTCAAATCATTCGTTTGTTAAAATGAAAGATAAATTACCCAAATAATGCATAAAATATATAACTTATTTTATTTTGAACTATTTAATTTCATATCAATTTCTTAAAAATCACATATTAATCAAATGTAATATTTTCTTTAATTATTGTTAGACTATGAATATTTACATCAACTATATTTTAGACATTAAAGAATATAATTGTATTTTTTATAAGGACAATTCTTATGTATGTAAATATATATCATATATATTTACGTAAATTCTTATAAATATATGTAAATTATCTTATAAAATCGTGTAAATTTTTATAAATATTTAACTTGCAAAAATTTAAGAAATTATAACTTATGTATATTTGTAAAAATTTATGTGATTTTATGAAACAACTTACGTATATTTATAAAACTTTACATATAATATGTACCTTACATATCCAAACACTCTAAACCCTTCCCTTATTATAAATGAAAAATTAAGATCAAAACGAAATAGGCATGTTTGGTAATTATTTCATTTTCAGTTTTCAGTTTATATTTACAAAAAATTTAACAACTATCATAAAAACTTGTTAGATAATTTTTTTGGTTTATAAATGGTTGTCTCAATTTATAAATTTGAGAAAAAAACGTAAACTCAAAAAATGAATTTACGTTAGTTTTTAAATAAAAATTTAAAAATTTGACTAAATTTTTTTTTTCAAATAAATTTTTTAATTAATTTTTTTTAAATTATAATGTGTATAATCCTATTATCATAAATAATAAAAAATAAATATAAATATTTTAGGTATGAATAAATAAATTTTTTAATTTATATTTTTAAAATATTCTATTTAAATCAAATACATTTGTAATTTATATTTTTTTTAAAATAAACAAAAACTAATTTATAAAAATTTTGTCGAAGGTCACCGAAGTATTTTTTAAGGACTATTTGTGTGATTGATCGAAAATAAATCCCGACACGTGGCCAAAGACACGTAACCCCTATATCCACTAATTCCTCTCCATGCTGGCTCTGCAAAAAAACTGGGGACTTTGAGAATCACAAAACAGTAGAGAGAATTCAACAATGGGCTCATCTCTATCTATATACATATCTCCACAAGCCCTAGCTCGCAATACTCCAAACCCTCGCAACCCCCTCCCCAGAAAGCTCTGCAAATCAAACCCTAACCACCACCATCGCATTACTCGCACCACCTCCCGTGACTTCCACCCTCCGCCGCCGCCGCCTCTCTCCTCCGTCTCCGGCGGCGATGCCGCCACCACCTACACCCGCCTCCCTCCCAAAGACGACTTCTTTCTCTCCTCTCTCCACTCCTCAACCGAGGTCAAGCTATCCGAATTGAATATTTCAACTCGAAAGATCGAAAACGACGAATCGAGTCAAGAAGAAGAGTTGTTTGATGAAAATCTAGGGCTTTCTTACGGAAAGTTCGAATTGTTCGAGGTGAATTCTGATTCTGAATTCGAAGACGATGATAATGAGGAGGAGGAGGAGGAGGAGGATGACTATGGTGGTGAAATGTTAGGGTTTGAGGGTGGAGAAGCTGGGGATGTGGTTGGTGGGGATGGAATTGAAGGAGAGGAAGTGAAGGAGAAAGAGAAAGGAGTGCCGGCGGTGATGAGATGCTTTGACAGAGCGAAGATTTTTGTTAAGGCCGGTGATGACGGGATTGGGGTGGTGGCGTTCCGGCGAGAAAAGTACGTGCCGTTTGGGGGACCATCCGGTGGCGACGGAGGGAGGGGTGGGAATGTGTATGTGGAAGTTGATGGGTCGATGAATTCGTTATTGCCGTTTCGACAGAACATTCATTTCAGGGCAGGGAGGGGTAGCCATGGGCAGGGGAAGAAGCAGAATGGGGCGAAGGGAGAGGATGTTGTGGTGAAGGTGGCACCGGGGACGGTTATTAGGGAGGCTGCCATGGATGGAGAGCAAGGGGAGGTGCTTTTGGAGTTGTTGTATCCGGGGCAGAGGGCATTGTTGTTGCCAGGTTGAAGAGGAGGGAGAGGCAATGCTTCTTTTAAGTCGGGGACGAACAAGGTTCCAAAGATTGCAGAGATTGGAGAGGAGGGCCCAGAATTGTGAGTCTTTCAAGTTCTTAAATTGTTTGTTCAGATTTTTAAAAATTTGAAATAGGTAATTGCATATATTAATTTTAACACTCGGAAATGGTTTCGTGGATTTTTTATTTGATTTGTACATCCTTGTTGAGAGTATAGGGTTTTGTTCTGTTTAGTTCGGTTGTTTCTTTTGCTGGTACATGCGTGTGTAGATGGTTGATGCCTTCACTGTGCATTAAAATAGTTACCATTTTGCTTGTCAGTAAATAAATAAATAACTGTTGTACAAAGTGCAGCAAAGTCTATTATTATAGCTCATATTCTTTGAGTTCACTAATTTATATTTTTACAATTAAGTATACATGAGTCTGACCATTTTAGGGGGTCAGATGGGTCACAATTGCAATATCTCCTATTCCAAGTGGCACTGCATTTGGAGATACAAAGTTTTAGATCACCAAGATTTTGATAGTGAGACTCACTTGTGGAATTAATAAGTTGTTAATACATGCCCAGGATACCAATTCATCCAAGTTTTAGCGGTAACATTCATGGTTGGTGTATTTACGAATAAGGGGCCTCAAGAATAGTCTCTTCATAAGAAATGGGGGGAAGGTTGTCTAGCTACTACCTCTCTGAGTCTTGGACTTTGTTATAAGCTGGAGCTTTGTGCATTGGGCATGAGCTTTTTTTTTCTTTTTTAGGTTATTCAGAGCTAATTTCCATGGTTAGTGGAAGTCTTTCAATTTTGTTATTAATTATTTTGTGAGCATTTTGACCAGGTGGTTGGAGTTAGACCTAAAGTTGGTAGCTGATATTGGAATAATAGGTGCTCCAAATGCAGGGAAAAGCACACTTCTTAGTGTTATTAGTGCTGCTCAGCCAGCTATTGCAAACTATCCCTTTACAACTTTACTTCCAAATCTCGGTGTTGTTTCATTTGACTATGATTCTACAATGGTCGTAGCTGATCTCCCAGGTTTACTTGAAGGAGCACACCGAGGTTTTGGTTTAGGCCATGAGTTTCTCCGGCACACAGAAAGATGTTCTGCTTTGGTATAAACCCTCTCATAAATTGTGCTTGCTCACTAAGATTTTGAAATAGCATTGCTTTATAGAGTAATTACTGAAGAAAGATGTCATAGCTGTACATTTTGTTTCTTGCTTTTGAAATTCGCCACACAATGTTATTTTGTGAGATTGTGAAACTAGAGCTTTTATTCTTACTTCAGATGTAGAGTTATTCTACTTCTATTTTATTTGTGGATTTGCTTGGGCCAATTCTTTTTCGGACTAATAGAACTATTATCAATATGGAACCTTAGGTACATGTTGTTGATGGTTCATCACAGCAACCTGAATATGAATTTGATGCAGTTCGTCTTGAGCTAGAACTGTTCAATCCTGAACTTGCTGAAAAGCCGTATTTAGTTGCCTACAACAAAATGGATCTTCTGGAGGCATCTGAAAGGTGGGTATCATTCAAGGAAAACTTGCAAGCTCGTGGCATATCAGTCAATATGAACATAAGTTTCTACAAATATAGGGTTCACCCAGATGAGACATTGGCATACATAGCCTCCGTTTGGCAAGTAGATTGGCTTTTTGACTTTTTTGACTATTTAAAATAGCCTATTTTATTTTTTGTAGCTAAAATAATCAAAAAAACCTGCAAACCCACTTGCCAAACACAGGCATAGTGTCAATAAATAGAACTCACAAAAATACACTTTTTGAGTTGGGTAATGCTAAGATACCAAATTTTCTACCAAACAAATGACCAAATCTCTCATATAGGTGTGAGATCCGCAATTTTGTAGGCCCCACACCTATATAAGACATTTGATCATTTATGTAGTAAAAAATTTAGAACTTCCAACATTTTCCTTTTGAGTTTTATGCATATCATATGTTATACAAGCAAATTTAATGCTTCAACAATTCCAAGCATAATTGTTGCATATTCATTTCTCTCACTCTAATATACCAACAGTTGATACGATTCTGCTTGCAGGTGTTTGGAAAGAGCACTATGATTGGATTGGGCATAACTTTCTTCGCCGGAATCTGCTTCTCTCTCTTCTCGCCGGCATTCAACTTGGCAACAAATGATCAGTGGCACACCTTGAAAGATGGTGTCGCTCACTTAACCGTATACACTGCTTTTTTCTATTTTTCCGTCTCTTGTTTCGCGATTGCAATTTTTCTAAATATCAACTTCCTCTATCATCCAGTGCTGAACTTACCCAGATCGTCACTAAGGGCTTAATTTGACAGATTGGAACGGTAGACGTTGGGCCTTTTTGGCTGGACTTCTTTGTGGGTTTGGGAATGGTCTTCAGTTCGTGGGAGGTCAAGCTGGCAGGAATCGTTACAGTAGGTGACGAGTTTGTGGGAGAAACGCGATTTTGCGTTCCCGAATCAAAATCGTGTAAGAAACGCGTGTGATCTACACAAAACATTAATTTTGTGAACATTCCTAGTTTTGATATTACCCTTAGTAGCAGGAATCGTTACAGTAGGTGACGATTTTGTGGGAGAAACCACATTCTTAAGAGAGAAAATCGCGTTTTGGTGTGAGATGAAACCGTCTATCAAAATCAAACAAGTCTAGATGCAAAATAAATTCGATCAAGATTTTGGGTAAAAATATGAAGCATATATACAAAAAAAAAAAAAAATAATAATAATAGCACATACGAGATATCCATTAAATTCAAATATTACTTACAGAATTTGGGTATATCTAAATTTGATTGGCAATTTCATGAACAGGTTCACATCTATTCATACATCCATTACTCCGTAATCAGTGAGGATGGCTCTGGGTCTGCCGTCGGTGATGCAATTGCTGGGCCTGAGGTTGGAAAATGTTTGGTGTGGACAGAGGAGATAGATACTGGGGCTGTTTGGATGAAAAGGAACTATGTGGTGGAGTTGAGAAGACCTAGCACTTGTCAAAGAATGGAGGAAGAACTACAGTGGAGTCGGTCGGCAAGAAGCAGCTGGAACGTTGGTCATCGAAGGTATAAAGGAGGGAGGGAGAGAGAGAGAGAGAGAGAGAGAGAGAGAGAGGTATATGCAGAGTTTTTTTTAAATGGGTGTATATACCGAGTTTGAGTGAGGTTTGGGTGAGAGAGTAAAGCCTGTTTCAATCTCACCTTTTAGATCTCCAATGCCCTCTACAAATAGGTGTAGGTTATAGGTGTAGGCTTTAATTATTCTCTTTGAAATAATACAATAAATAGTGTTGTAGATTAACAAATATAATAAGGAACCTCACTTGTTAAAATTGAAATGTTTGAAAAAATATACTCACTTCGATCAAAAATAATATAGTTTTATTTTGGAAAATTTAATTTTTTTTATAGTATAATTATTTTCCCTTAAAAAATTAATTTTTGAAAATTATTTTTTGAGAGTATATTTTTTTAGAGAATATAAATTGTCATAATTATATTTTTTGTGATATTAATTAATTTAAGGATAAATTATAAATATATCCCTTGAGATTTATTTAAATTACAAATTATTTCTTGTAATTTTAAAAATTACATTATGCTTTTTAAAGTTTTTAATTTCTTAACAAATAAGTCTTTTAATTAATAAATTATTAAGTTAATTAACAGTTTTTAATAATGTTAAAATTTTATTTCTATTAATAATTTAGATAATTTTATTATTGTATAGGTAAATAGTTAAAAATTTCACTTTTTCAATTAATTCTGTTAAATAAAAAATTCTTACAAAAAGATATTTATATTTTGAGACGGAAGAAGTATAGAAAAAGTGTATAGATTTTATATAAAAAAAAAAATATTGAACCGCGATTTTAACAACCCATGTCTCTCTCTCTCTCTTATATCTTTAGTTTTTTTTTTTTCTTTCAAAAAATCTATTTAGTTTATTAATTAATTGTTATTGCAACTTATAAGACTAATCTGAATTCATTCAACAATCTGTTTCACTCTCTACTCATGGAATTATGAGACTATAGTTGTATTTTTGATGAATTTCATGAGAATTTTACTGGGTCTTGATTGAACTGAAAATTTAGACTTTACCCCCAATCACATGGAATAGATTAAGCATATTGCTTAAATATCTTGTGGGTTACTGTATGTTTTTGCTTTGTATTTGATTAATATGGCACAACCCAATTCTTTTTTTTTTTTTTTTTTTTTTTCATCCCTTCCTCAAATTTCCAAGTACCCAACTCAACTACTTTCTTATAAATCTTTAGTTAAAAAAAAAAAAATCAATTTAGTTTATTAATCATCATTACAACCTCTCAAACTAATCAGAATTCATTTTGCAATCTCTTTCACTCCCTATTCATGGAATTATGAGACTATTATTGTATCTTCGATGACTTTCATGAGAATTTTACTGAGTCTTGAACTGCAAATTCTGACTTTACCCTAATTAGATGGAATAGATAAAGCATATTGTTTGAATATTGAAAAAATTAAAATCCCTTAGATATTGATTTGTGATTACGTTTCACTTTTAAATAACGAAGAACAAGCCCAATTAAATAATCAAAAACAAATCAACACACCGATTTAACGTGAAAAAATCACAATTGGAGCGCCTCCAATTGTGATAAAAAAAATTACGGGCCAAAGTCACAAAACAATCCACTAAGAAAATAGAAAGGAACTACATATGTGAATCCTCAATTATCTAACGAATCCACACCCGAATTTAACCAACTCCAATATGCCTCTTCCACTACCGTCTTCACCTCAGAATTGGCTTGCCCAACGTTGAATCTACAACGCGGATATCGAATTCACGACAGCGAGCCACTCCGGAATCTACCAAAATTTTAGGCCCAAATTCTCTGAAATTCATCGAAGAACAACTCTCTCATTTTTGAATTAAAGAAAACACACAAAACCTACAGATCCATTGATTAGTCTTAAATCATCAAGAAAGCACTTTTAAAGCACCATCCAATATAAAATACTTTGTTTTTTCTTCCTCTTTGAAAATCTGGACGGCTCAAACCCTAAAAATAACAAATAGCTCACTTTATAGAAAATTAGATCACGAAGATCGCTCGAGAGCACACTTCACCACTCAAGCGGTGTGAGTAAAGGTGATGCAAAACATATAGGCTGACCGTTCGAGCGCAACATTCACCACTCGAGCAGTAAAACTTTCTTCCTAGAAATTTAGGTGCTTTGTAAAAGTATTGAGGGATTCTTTTCTTTGCTGGAACGCACAAATGACTGCTCAAGCGGTCAAACAACTTCGACAGTATTTTTGCTTTTTGCTTCAGTGAAGTGGCAAAAATGAAAGGATCAAGATCACAAGCTACTCTGCATAGGCACAACTCAGATTGGATTCACAACTAAATACTCACATCCTCATTGAAATATAAGAGCGAATAAAATTATAATTGAAAAAAGTTTTGTCAAACGGAATTGCCAGTTACAAAAACCTAACAATCTCCCCCTTTGACAATTCCGTGACAGAACACACCTAACAAATAAAATCCTAATCACCCCAACCCATAACAACTAATCAAGATGCTATTAGTGCTATCATCTAAAAAATAGTTATTAGTGCCACAGTCTGCAAAACAACTAATATTGCCACAAGGGTATATGAAAGTAATAGACATATGACAAGATTATCTTGCAGCATTAATAGATGAAAATTTAAAGAACATGCAGACATACTAAAAAAGCTCCCTCTCAAAAATATCATGTGGGTTATTGGATGTTTTCGCATTGAGTTTTATTAATATGGTACAACCCAATTTTTATTTTTTTCATCCCCTCCTCAAATTTCAAAGTACCCAACTCAATAACCTAAATAAGAAGAAATTCCCTACTGAATTCTCCATTAATCTATAACTTGTATAATTTTATATAAAAAAAATCACTTGAAATTTAAGCCTTTTGTTCACAATATGATGCTTTTTCTGTAGGTTACCTCACCCCGATGGGCCATTGAATTGAAAATTCAGACTTTGCCCCCAATTAGATGGAATAGATCAAGCATATTGTTCGAGTATCATGTCGGTTGTTGTATGTTTTCGCATAATATTTATTTGATTAATATAGCACAACCCAATTCTTATTTTTTCATCCCCTCCTCAAATTTCCAAGTACCCAACTCAATAACCTAAATAAGAAGAAATTCCCTACTGAATTCTCCATTAATCCATAACTTGTATAATTTTATATAAAAAAAATCACTTGAAATTTAAGCCTTTTGTTCACAATATGATGCTTTTTCTGTAGGTTACCTCACCCCGGTGGGCCATTGACAACAAACAAGGCTGTGACTTTGGTGAAGTTCGTTGAAAGAAAAGAGCCTAATGGATTGGCTTTTATAAAGCCCAAACTTGTTGAACGGGCTGTCAAAAATGCAAAGGATATTGTAAATGCAAGTAATTACCAGTTATATCTTGTAGTTTTTTTCCCAATGGTGTTAAATTCCTTTATTCTTGAACTAGGCTATGGACCTGGTTAAACCTAGTCAAGTTTGTGGACA